TGATGAGTCGGTGTTGTGAGACATAGCCTAAGTTGACTAAAACATGTCGTCCGTATGAATGAAACCAATCCAGCTCTGAGAGTATTTGACGCAGTATCCGTTGGGGGAAGCTGAGGGAGAGGCAGCTATATGCTTTAGTTACTCGATCTGAACAATATCTTCGACGATTGCACCGTTTCCTAAGACAGTAACCTTTGCATAATTGGAGGAAGATATTTCGTCAAATAAAAGAGTTGGCCATACAAGGACTTTATGTTGACGGTCAGTTTGTATGGCAGCTATATTCTATAGAAAGAAAATGACGTGTGCAAAATTTCAGATCGATACTTCAAACATTGAAAAACTACACTCGATATACTAGCTCGTCACGCTGCTCATTTACATTATATATGAACTTCATGAAGTTTTTTACGTTTCCTTTTAGGTGTTACAAACTTAATATTACTTGTTCAAGGTTTAAGTAACTAGAACTTTACTGGATGTTTAGTTTTTGAAGGAAGATTCGAAGATAAGAACAATGGACAAGCACTCATACTTAACAAGCAACTAAGTCAGAAATATACTAAAATAACTATCACTCAAAACATCACTGAACTATCAAACTGCCCTAGTCTGCACATTTTTACATCGCCCGTTCGCCCGTCATTCGTATTCATATCGTGTATTAGCAGCGCCGAAGCGAGCAGTGTTGGAGGTGACAAGATGTGGGCCAGACAATCTTATCCAGCCGTAGAAGGCCAGTAGAGCAGCCATACAAATTGGTCCCCCATTAGAAATCAAGAAGTAAGCGCCATGGGGAGCTCTTTCATCATCAATAACCTCGCGTGGTGAGCATATATAAACTCACACTAGCCAGTGTTGCTTAATAAAGTGGTGCACTGTGGGTTGTATGAGTTAAAAGTCGAAGCTAAACTACAATTACGAAATGCTGTTATGGAGAGCATAAAGCCTTGACAGACGACAGCACCAATTCTAGTTAGTCATATGTGAAATATACCTCATGAACAGACATGAACCCTAGTATTACCGACCTCTCATCTCTAATTCTTAGAATTAAAGCGTTATTATTACACATTTTTTCTTTAAGATATTCTCAATACTATTGTCTCCATTCGCTATAATGCAATGACGCCAGCGCTTTCTTCAATCATTAAAACACTTCTCAAACTGGATTTATGGGATAGCCTTTAGGTCTTTCAGCGATTTTCATCTACTTATCTTTTTAAACGACGGCACTTTCAGGTTATCCTTATTTTTGCAAATAGAAAAACGTCACACAAATGGCGAATATGGAGGCTACGATCGCCATAGTATTGTCATTTTATCAAGAATGAACTGAAAATTTTTTTGACAGTTAGACTCTCCAAACCAACGAAATTTTCAAATTTCCTTTATTTTTTGAACACATCTGTATGCAACAAGTAGCTGGCTCGATCAGCGATCCCTCACATTTCGCTGCCTTTTTTATGGGTACGATTACGTACCAAGAAAAAAGTGAATTAGAGGTATTCGAGGAAATTGTACAAGACAGTGGCTAAGATCTTATTAATGATCGTAAATGTTGCGAAGGGCAGTAAGATTGAACTTAACAAGCTTCTCAAACCCCTTAAAACCAAAGATTTCAGTTTATCCAATGTTAGACGAAGCTACGGTTAAGAATTCTTCTGTTGGGGTTCCCAAAGAATCGAAAGATAACTCAGAAACCACAACCTAGGTCATTTTGAAAAATTTAAGATTTAAGGACGCCTCCTATGGTCCATCCGTTGAGTCGAATTTTCGATAACTCGTTTGAGATTTTCGACTGGTAACTGGCGAATGACGCGTGCTGTTTTTCACCAAGGCCTGAATCAAAACGGGATTTTCCGCATAAACTTTAGACTTTACATATCCCACCAAAAAAGTCTAACGGAGTGATATCACAGGATCTTGGTAGCCAACCGACCGGCCCAAAACGTAAAGTTATCTGCTAACCGAAGTGATATCGCAATAAATCCACTGATTGAGGCGATGTGTGGGGAGTGGCGCCGTCTTGTTGAAATGAAATGTTGCCGAGATCACGAACTTCAATTTCAGGCATCAAGTAGTCGGTTATCGTGGTACGATGAAATGACATCGTTTCAGTTGCTCTTCGTCCCAAGTGTGTCAATTTTGCTGGTTTACATACCCATTGAGCCAGAAATGGGCCGCATTACTGAACAAAATTTGGCTCGAAAACTTCAGATCTTCTTGGAACTTTTCAAGAGCCCATAGAACGAAGGAAGATCACTTGGGAAGAGCGAACGGCTTTAGTTCTTGCACAAGCTGTATTTTATACGCTTTTAATTTAAGATCTCCACGTAAAATGTGCCAGGTCGTTCCATACGTCGGTCCAAGTAGCTGCGAATGGCACCGAATCCACATTCCACCGTCGGTGAATTTTCGTAATACGAGTAAAGTTAAACAATTGTAAATATTATTCAGGCTTAAGTGTGCTTTGACGAAATTCCTAACATTATTGATGCTAAGGGCAATATTAAAACGGCTATTTAGAAATGAACCTCTATCACCCGTTACTACGATTCTGTGAACGCAAGAGCTCTTTGTTATTTACAAGCGTCTATGAAAGAGCTAAACGACGCTCAACACGTTCGCACCAAAGAAACGTATTATGATTCAAACGCGATTTCTTGCGCTTCAACAACATTTTACTATATTATGTTGTTTATAAATGCTTTTTTGTTACTTTTATTGTTGTAGTGTAGACAAAATGTTGCAAATCAAATTGTGAGCGCCACGTACATATAAACGTACTCATTTACTTAGCGTCGGCACGCGTTTGCTCTTGCACCCAATGCCAAGTCGACGACAGCGGAGAGCGCGTAGGGGCCCTTAGCTACGAACAAAAACACTGCGGGACGGTGACGAGGCTGTGGCGCGCCGCTGACAGACACAATGTGTCGAGTGTGAATTGCACTGAAAGGCTGCACTGAGTCTCCGCCACTAAATGCAGCTAGACAAACTAAAGCCACTCGCGACGTTGCCACTGCTTGGCGCGACTGGCTCTTCAACGGCTAATTGCAGAGGGGAAACAAACCGACAAAAATTCAATAAATAAATAAAAAGTGCATTATTATGCTCACACATGTGTTTGTATGTTTATTGCATGTCGAGGAATGCGCAACAAATATTTATTTTCTTTTTGTTTGTTTTTCGAAATGGAAATTGTTTCGTTAGAGAGTGCTTATGAGATTTATGAAGCGCGAGGCGCGAGGCGCGGTGTCATAGTATTGTTGAAAAGTTTATGGCAATTTTCTCAAAAAATTAAGTTATTTCAACTAATTAAACAGAGTATCCGGGAATGTTCGCTTTGTTTTCGTCTTTCGCTTAATTATCGCCTGGAAAGCTTTTACAAGAGATTGCCGATCATTAAAAGGTGAAGTGTGAAAGCGATTAACACGATACGCCTACAAAATGAATTAAGCAAACATTTGTTCAGCACTTTTAGAGATTTGGAATTTTTTATGGTCTACTTTAAAATGTTTGTGTGTTTTTATAAGAATGTTGTGCGATCTAAATAAATGATAGCGYTCCAAGAACATGAGTTAATGCTACAGAATAGGCACAGAAATAATATAATTTATACGATCAGCTTCTTTGTAAAATATGGTCGGACGAAAGCATGCCCAACGATTGGAATTTAAGTGTGCTATGCCCAATCCTCAAAAAAGGCGACCCCACAATCT